TCTATTTTCCCTCCCCTCCCTGCTGTTGCTCTCCTTGGTTAGTCTATTTTCCCACCCTTCCCTGCTGTTGCTCTCCTTGGTTAGTCTATTTTCCCACCCTCCCTCCCTGCTGTTGCTCTCCTTGGTTAGTCTTTTTTCCCACCTTCCCTCCCTCCCTTGCGCTGTTTTGGCTCTTTCTAGAGCTCCACCAGGTTTGCCTCCATTTTTCAATCAGGAGTGCWGTGGGGCCACCCTGAATAGAATACCATTTTAGAAGGGAATTTGCGTTTCCAAATATGCTCTCAAAATATAGTGAAGTGACCCTAATAGTTCTCTTAAGATTAAATTAACGACTGTGTTTCAATATGATTACAGAATGTTTTGTCATTCCGTGTAGATGATACAAGAATAGAAAACCTTGATGTCCAATGCTTTGGTTTGGGTTTGGATCTTATAGACCCCTTGCATGTGACGTCAAAACAGTTTAATTTGGAGGACAAAATAGAAACATTTAAATCTCCTGAAAATTGGAGACCTTTTGTTATGTCTTCCAAATGGAACTGCATTACGACGTACTGAAAGGGGTCTATTTTTAGATCGATCCTGAAAAATGAACTCCTAAATTCCAATTGGAATTTCAGTAGGTTAAGAGGTACTCTGTGGAAATGGCACTGCTAAATCCCATTTCTTTTATTTTAATTTTGTTTATTTATTYATTCATTTATATCTATCTAGGGACCTGAAGGGGTACGCGGCAAACGAGGCCTTCGTGGAAGGAAGGGAGACCATGTAAGTATATTATCTCTTCCTTGTGGATTATTTATCTTGCCGTTTTCATTGTGTCACTAGCCTTGAGCAATCGATATGGGGTGCCCTGTCGTAAACGGGTGTCATCATGGGCGCAATCAACCATTCCTACTCCAATGAAACTTATCAACCAACATGTTGGCCCTTTCATTGTTGTTAAATCTCGAGAAATTTGGCTCATATGGTTGCACTTCCGGAATAGACCCCTTGCAGTACGTCGGCTTAATTTAGAGGACAACAATAGGTTTTCAATTATCTGGAGATTGAAATTCTTTCGTTTTCTCCTCAAAATTGAGCTGCTCTGACGTCACACGCAAGGGCTTTATTGCTGGTGTTCACAGAAGAAGGACTTGGCGGTGGGGGGATAGATGACGTTGCAACAATATGAAAATATACATCTTATATTTCGCATGCGTGAGGAAAGAAGTTGTTTCACTAATTCAGTTGGACATCTTTCTAGGGCGAAACTGGAGCTGATGGTCGGGACGGGTTACCTGGTGAACCGGTGAGTATATCAATGAATATATATATATATATATATATGTATACGTACGTACGTACGTACGTACGTATGTATGTATGTATATATATATATATATACCAACATGCAAACCAACTGACAGACTCGGCTACGCCTTGGCCTTTATACCGGATTAAACACTCCTGTTCGTTTTTTAAAGACTACGACTGCGTTAACACGGTACCGCACTCCTGTTCGTTTTTTAAAGACTACGGCTGCGTTAACACGGTACCGCACTCCTGTTCGTTTTTTAAAGACTACGACTGCGCTTTAACACGGTACCGCACTCCTGTTCGTTTTTTAAAGACTACGACTGCGCATTAACACGGTACCACACTCCTGTTCGTTTTTTAAAGACTACGACTGCGCTTTAACACCGTACCACACTCCTGTTCGTTTTTTAAAGACTACGACTGCGCTTTAACACGGTACCGCACTCCTGTTTGTTTTTTAAAGACTACGGCTGCGCGTACACGGTACCGGTCGTATTTTTATCTATCCGAACAAAAATTCGTACTCCTAGCCGTGCAAATTTGGATCCGTTTCCGTGTAAACAAAACATACTTTTATACAATTAAAGAGATGGTTCCGTGTAAACGGTATAAGGTACATGTCAGAATTTTGACAGGTTAAAAATTTGTCCCGTACCGTGTAAACGCAGCCTACAAATATCATAAGGAAAAGAAAGAGTACTTTGTTTACATGTAATGGTGGTCTGAAGATCGAACTCACGACTACAAGTGTTGTTAAACTGTGCATTAGCATTGCACCCCACCCTGCTGCTGATACCAACTAGTAAACAAAGAATTGGTCAAGATTACATGAAAAACGTCATACTTTACCTTTTGCCCAATTTCTGGGGTGCATGTGACATCATAGTCACCATTTTGGTTTTGGTTTGTTCTGTTATGTGTCAACCAACATGGCGGAAACGTCTTTTGTCTTTTTATTCTCATTGGAAGGGATACACCCACCAACAAAAAGTTATGAATATTTTCTCGATTCTTCAGGGTATTCGTGGACGACCGGGCACATCAGGAAAAGACGGCTATCCTGGATCTGTTGTGAGTCTTTAGTATTGGCTATAGATTACCATAGGGTCGTCACGCAATGTTTTTCTTTAACGTTGCGCGCGACGACGTGACGACCCAAAGGATATTTGTATATCGTAAGAAGTGTGATAGGAAAATGTGTCTGGTCATCTTAGGAGCTCTTATTGTATTTTGTTTCATCTTAGGGTAAAAACGGTGATGATGGAATAGCCGGGGAAGATGGTCTTCAGGTAACTACAACTTTCCCACTACTACCAAACCAACATACGGCAATATAGGTACATGCGCAGTGGTGCAGAGCAGACAAGAACAATTAAGAACCACTCTTACGTTCCTTCCTCCCTTTTCTCCTCATCCTGCATCCTCCACAGAATGCGCTGCTGCCGAGGCTACACTAGCAACTATCTGACTATCTACTGGTTCGTCAGTGTTCAATTTGAATAATTCATATAACGTTCAACTGTGTATTTTTTTTCTCCAGGGGCCACCGGGACCAGTTGGCTCTGAAGGACTGCCGGGACCAAAAGGAGATGCGGTTAGTTCAAAACAAGCGCTTGATAAAGTCTTGTTTCTTTTTTATCTATTATCTATCTGCTATCTACCTTTTCCAAATGGGAACTTAACAATGTGCAGGAGGCAGGGGTCAAATGTATTTTTGTAATACAGTTTTTTTCGTTTTCCGTTCCTTTACTAAAGGAATTTACAGAGCGCTCAAGAAATGTGAGAAACAACGGCTTATGCGGTTCGTGTTTCTCTCACTCGTTCACTATCTCCCTCTTTTTTCATCTTTCTTCTTTTCGGCACTTTCTGCATGCTAAAATGAGCTGCGCACGCTGCATTGCATGTTGTCACAATCTTTTAAAAGCTAACTATCGTGAATTATTTATAGGGTGCGTCAGGAACTAAAGGTATCTCTGGACGACCCGGTAAAATCGGCTCTAAAGTGAGTATTTACATGTGTTATCACACATGTATTCATTGTGAGGTAGCGCGCATTCGCTACCTTCGAATACGCGAAATATTCTAAGGTATTGATAATACAATATCATTCTATTATTATACGGCAAACTCAATTTCCCGTTTTTACGACCATTTTTCAAGTGCAATTACAGAGCGATAAAACACGGTCCGTGAACCGGTTTTGAAAGCTTTCACTCGTAAAATTATCATAACTAGCAGTGTAACAAACTCTATTTATTGTTGACAGGGTAATAGAGGCGAAGCTGGAGCCATGGGTGATGCTGGTAAACGCGGAATAATGGTAACACCGCTTGAGCTTCAAATATTCAAACTTCCACTGAGTTTTTGGGTACCAAGAAACGTTTTCAATACTGATCGTAAGATCATTGTTCTTGTAGGGAGCTCCTGGGCAGTTAGGCGAACAAGGAAACCAAGGACCTGAAGGAGATCGGGTGAGTATAACGTGCTATATGAGGGTTGTATGAGGGGTATCACTGCTATCACCTGATGGTACAAAGTCTCTATACACAGATTTTGCAGAAACCTTTAATTTATCAAAACACCCTATTCAAAGTCAGTGGAGGTGGGAGACGTGGTGGCAAATTTGTAACCTTTTTTGTAATCACATCCTCCACTCCACGCGGAAAGCTAAGAATTGTGGAAACCAGGCAAATGTTGGAGGAAAAAAGTACTTCAATTCCCAAGCTCACTCTTCCCTTCCTTTCCCAATAACGTACTGTTATTCAGAGTTGTATCGGACAAGCTTATACCCAGTATGTAAGAAGCATAAGGCACTACAGAAGTTTTCGTATGACTGTGAAAAGCTCAGTGCCGTAAGCGTGACGTGCCGTGACCGTGATGCTTTCTAGAATTTTAATTGAGTGATTTTTTCCCCACGCGCAATGTAATTGGTCTGACAGTGCAGTGACATTAGCGTGACCGTGTCCGCGCCGTGTTTATGTTGTGTTCTGGGTATTTGATTGGATGGAGAGTAAATTCTCGAGCAATGTGATTGGTCTGGCGTATCCCTTGCCGTGTCACGACCGTGATCGTGGCGTGAGCTTTACGCAGTCATACGAAAACCTGCTATTTAGGTAAGCTATAACATACGTCAATGTTTGTAGGGTTCTGTGGGCAAGCAAGGCATCCAAGGAGTCAGTGGGTCGAAAGGTGAACAGGTAAGTCGATTAATATCAATATTAATTATTATTATTTATAAATAGTTAATTAATAATAGTAATTGGATTTAATATGTTTAGGGATTCCCTGGAGACAGAGGATCAGATGGCCTGCCTGGAAAACCGGTAAGAAAAAAAGATGAATTGATGGTTTTCACGTCGGCCATGTTGGAGGAACTTAACAAAAGAATTGTCAATGAATTCTTTTGTTATATCATCCAACATGGTGTCGTGTCTTCTGTTATTTAATTCTCTTGGGAATGGCTGAAAACCATCAATTGGACTTGAGTTTGCTCCAGTCCATAGGAATTACTCTCACCTAATACATGAAACAGTCCTGTTGAGTAATAAATAGTTATTAGGATAAGAGATCGCGAGCAATAGACCTTGCACTTGGTAATCTTTCTCAGATTAAGTGCGAGCGCCTTACAGTAAAAATATATGTTATTGTTTTGACGTTCAACTTGTCTTTCCTACCTGCGAATGTCTCACGCGGCCTCTCGGGGGAGCGTTGGTGCGATTTAACAAAATATTTCTCATTAGCATCCATTGTTAACGGCACCACGATGGCCGCCATGTTTTTGTCTTTCAACTCCCTTAGGGATGCTTGTAACCCATAAATTGCTGGGTTTCACTACACATCATTTCCTGGGGAATGTTAATCAGCTGAATCGCAAGTTTTCAATAGAATTCTTTCTGGTTAACAGCACAGGGTGGTCAGTGTTTGACCACCATTTGGAGCAGATAATGAGATTCAAAGACTGAGTGAAATCCATCAATAGTGAGACCGAGCATAAAATACTAATGTCATGTCATGAAGCTAAATATCATATATTAATCCTGTAGGGAAAGCAAGGAGCTGCCGGTGAGAAGGGAGACCCTGGAGACATGGTACGTGAAATAATAAGACGATATTGACTTATCACTCATGTTAAAACCTCAGCAACACAAGAGAGCATACGTGGAAAAGGAAGCTTTTATACGAATCTTGAATTAAACGCTGCCCTCAAATAAGCGCCGCACTAAAACCAAAATTATTAATGAGCGCCACCCCCGAATAAGCGCCACATTTATCCATACAAAAAAAACATTGGTACTTTGTGTTTTTTAAACGTTTGTATTCACTTTGTATTGAATCATTGGTTACAAATTATTTTCTTGTAAATACATTTTTTAAATAAGCGACGCGCTCCTTTAATAATCTTGAACTACCATCATGCAATGCGTTCTAGAACACAGCAACCCCATGAGACTACAATCACCCGACCCGTTCTGTTATATGATTAATCCTAACTAATGAAATTGTTGACAGGGTTTACAAGGACCCGTTGGTAACCCCGGCTCAGCAGGAAGACAAGGTCCAGCTGTGAGTAGAATAGCGTAGAATAACTTTAGGATTATTTACCTAAAGGTAATAGGTAATTATGGAACGGTCAATGCTTATAGCGTGCGTATGTCCAGTTCTGGATGCACGCGGGGGTTGCTAAGCACGAAAGAAGCGTAAGGGTCTCACGAGACGTAGCCGAGTGCAACTCTAGGTTCTTGAGTGCTTAAGCAATTTCCCAAGTGCATCTAGAACTGGATATACGCACAACTAAGCATTGACCATTGCTTTTATACCATAGCAAAACTGTAAAAAATATTTCTCGATCAAAAAAAATAACTAAATTTACGAAACCTTCATTACATAGCGCACGCTACTCGATCATGTCAGTGTGCATAATCACCATTCTTAGATGCACGCTTGCGCACGCCAATTAACCAATCAGAGCGCGCATTATATCGTGACTATGTTATAATAAGCGATAAGCGATAGGAAATAGGTCATTCCAAGATCCAAGAATAGCTGGAATGGTTTGTGTTTTTTAGTATAATTCGCGTTGAAGAAACGGAGAATTTTGTTGAGATGTCTAATGTTGCTCGTAGTCGACAAAACCATTCTAAAGGCCTTGATTATTCATATTTAGTTGTATGCACAAAATCTCCTTTGGCAGTCCAACAACCATTGTTGATATAGGTGAAACACCAGGACAGCATGGCAAATATCTAATCTTTTTATCTTTTACAGGGTATCAAAGGACCGATGGGAGACAGGGGACGCCGTGGAGACATCGGTATTCGAGTAAGACATAAGAATTTAACTTTTCTCCTTATTATATTATCTTAATATTTTGCTTCATATCCGCGATATTTGGTCGATCACATTTATATCAAACGCCATTGCTGCAAACCCTTCTTTTGTCTAAAGATGTCGTTTCGTTTTACAGCGTATTTAATGATTCTGCAAACAAAGTTATTTTCTAACTCGCGCCAAGGTGGTTTCCGATTTTGTTATAAAGCGAATACTCAGCGGATTATGGAATGTCCACAGCGAACGTAGGTCAAAAGCCAAATTTTGATAGACACATAGTCTTATGTTTGCGACTTAATGAATGAATAAATGTATGAACAAGGAAAGAAAGAATAAAGGAAGGAGAAAAGAAAAAATATTCTTCATGGTTTTTTTTACCTTATTTTACTTTTTCTAGGGCGAAAAAGGAATCCGTGGTGCAGCTGGGAAGCCAGCAGCCAAGGGCGAGCCGGTAAGTAGGGTGGAATATACCCAGAATAGACATGGCGACCAATTTGAATAACTATTGGTCTGGACTGACGACAGTCGTGTACACATGAAAAAATAAAAGTGTTTTCACATAAATGAGAGGCAAGTCAGTCCAGATGCCTGATAATTCATCTAGTCTCCCCAACAGGCTATTTGCTCGGGTTTTTGTGGCCATTCGAGATGCATGGGTTTCCTTTGCTGAAAACGCGGAAGACTAAGGCGAGCTGGAATGAGAAAAAAAAGAGCGACAGAAGGCCTAGTATAGGAAAAGATAGAAAAGAGAGAAAGGAGATGCCTGCGGAGGAGGCTATAATTGATCAACCTTTCACTAATGTAGAATATAATCAGCTGAGTAAATGTCATGATGATAATGCCCGTCATTTTCAATCATCCATGCAAATGTTTAGAGAAAACGAGCCAATATCCTGCTATAATGTCAAATGAATTCCACAAATATATATATTTCATCCAAACAAAAGGTACAGGGTTAAAAATACGATGGACAAAGATTGCAAGCAAGAGGGAGTATATATATTGGAATGGCAAAGCAATTTTTCTTKTAACCATCGACACGTTTATTAAAGTTTTTTTATGGGACGCCTGTGTCGTAATTCGTCGAATTCAAACCTGGAATTCTAGTATCAGGGAAGACTGATGCTACTTAATAGAAGAACATATTCCTTGAAAGGAATGTTTTCTTTCTCAAGCTGATTTTTCTCGAAAAAAGTTCGAGTTCCAGGCTTGACGAAACGTAATTTCAACTCTAATAATTTACCAAAAACACTTAATATTCCTTGTTGTTGTAGGGTGATCCTGGTAAGAATGGTCGAGTGGGCAAGAATGGAGAGATGGGCCTACAGGTCAGTACCTCTATTCTAGCTAGTACTGGTGGTTTATTGATTGATTGATTGATTGATTGGCCAGGTTAATGGCGGTCCCGTTGTTTTAACCAACTTATTATCGACTTTTTTTCGTCCCAGGGTCTTCCAGGACCCGATGGAAAGCAAGGCATCGATGGAGTCCAGGGTCAAAAGGTATTCAGTCTTTTATGGTCACCGATTATAAATTTGGTGCAAGCTGATTGGCTGGAAATTTCAAAATGCTGCACGCAATATTGCAGCCATGTTCACACGATGGGATTTGTTGCGCGCAATGTTGCAAGAGTAGAGCTCGATTCAACTTCAGATTTGTTGCATGCATTTTTATGGTACGGCTTGAGTATACTAGGAATTGGCCGTATCGTTCCCCACTCCTAGCTGCTGTAATTCAATCATTACTTACGAATTATAAAAATGATGGAAAACTGAACGAACCTGCAAAACACCGACATCAGAATAAGCCTTCTCAATATTGTCATTCTCTTTATAAAACATTCTTTTGTTAGAATAGATAAATTTTCTTATTTTCTTATTCATTATTCTTATTTAATTTCATGTATCTATATTGTTAATAGCTATATATACTCATAGTTTCCTTCAATACTGTAATTTAATTTCTTTATTATTGTTAGAATTTTTTTTTCTTTTTTCAACAAAATTTATAATCTTGCAATTTCCTTTAAACCACTGTGCAGCCTCGATTAGTGCTTACTATTTACGGGACAGTGGTTTTTTTTCCTATGTGACAATTCTTCTTCTTTCATTATAATAAACTTGAACTTGAACATCGCATACTGGGTGTAAGTTTTAGTTTTCCAGTAGACCTTATAGCTTCGTTGTTTGTTGTGCACGTTACAGACCATGTGATGCCACTCTTGGGAGTTGATTCTTTCATGTGTAAATATTTTAAAATGTTTGTCATAAAAGAACAATTCTCAAGTAAATGTCATGTGACCTGAAATGGGCAATTTGCATAGCTCAAAAGTTGTATAGAAACTGCTCCACTTTCTCACCTTGCACAATTGAATATCCCAGTGGCTTTCTCAATAATATATTGTTAAATCCCCCGTCCGTTTATTGTCTTGCGAGTCTTAACTTAACCTACATTTGTTGTTGTTGAGGGAGAATCTGGTGAAAGAGGCAAACCTGGAGCTCACGGTAACATGGGAGACTCTGTAAGTTGAATGTTATTAAATATTATTAATATCATTATTGAATATTATTAAAATCATTAGTATCATTAACATCGATCCTCATCATTAAAATTTAGAAGTACATTTCTGTGCAGGGAAGAAAAAACGGAGAACCCGGAGGAAAATATTCTTCCCTGCAGCCGCTATCAGTGTTGTCACGCAACGCTTTCTTTCCCTACTGAGGGGTGAAAGCTTTGCGTGACGACACTGATAGCGGCTGCGAGAGAGACTAGGAAGAAGAGCGACCAACAAACAACTCTACTCACATATATAACATCGAGTCACATTGGTGAGAGGCGGTGCATTACCAGCGCACGCCACCCATGCTTCCCCGATTATCATCGTCATTATTTTTACTATCAAAAATCCTCTAGTAGGAGTATTGTCACCATCATTATTATCATTATCACGTCATTATATATCTGATATTTTGTGTTAACCAGAACTATAACAATTTTATTCTAAAAGTGGTATTTTTCTGTAGGGTGAGCGAGGAGACATGGGAGCTCCTGGAAAACAAGGCTTCCTTGGCCAAGCAGTAAGTAAAATAAGCTTAAGGAGCGATTACATGGAGCATTTTTCACTTCAACTTGTCTTGCAACAACGTTGCGACACAAGCAAGTTGGACAAGTTGCAAGAGTTTTTACACGAGACACAATCGTTGCAAAAAATAGAAACAAATTCTACTCTTGGCAACGATTGCTGCGACTTGTCGCAACATTTTTTCAATTGCGCTGTAGTTTACAAGCTGCAATTCAACTTGTATCGCAATGTTTTGCAAGTTTTTTCCTTGTGCACACTGAAAGAAAAAAGGGCGTGTACCTAAAGCCGTGCTTGATGATCACATCTTGTTTGCTAGATCCAATATCTATTTATGTCAAGCGACTTATTATCAACGATAACCCTCTTCTGTTAACCAATCAGCATTGTTGTCATTTCCCTGTAGGGCGCAGCAGGTCCTTTGGGTCAGCCTGGAATAGTGGGACTGATTGGACTCAAGGTAGGTTATATTCCACGGTGCATATACTGCATGCAACAAACTGCATGTTATAAAAACATTTCGACAGAACTTTTTCAGGGCTGTCCAATCAAATTTCAAAGACCGTTCTAAGAAACCGATCCTAATAATAATCGAAGCCGATTATAATGTACCCTTCTCTAAAGTATCTTGGATGCGAGGCATGGAAATACAAAAGAAATCACACTTTTTGACGATGGAATTTGTGGCATATCTTTTGTATGTCTATGATAGCCTCGCATCCACCATGTTTTTGAGAAGGGTAAGTAACATTGTGCATTGTGGTTTAGCTTGGAAGCAATATCTTTTGTTCATTATGTCCTGGTAGAATGTTATTGTTTGTACCCAAACTAGACTATGATGTATCATGTTTATGAAGCCCATTGAAGTCCTATGGGCCATGGAAATTGGAATTCTCAAAAGTTTTTGATAGTCTCCCAAAAATTCCTTTTCTCGCTTCGATGCAAGAGAAAAAGACATGTTGACAATAAGGACTGATTTCAGTGGAGTTGGACGTATCCAAAGATGTCACATAGATGGTTTTTGCTATAAGCCAATACAGAAACACAGCGGCGCCTCTTTGCCAACCACAAGGTCTTGCAAGGGTTACGGTACAGTGTTACCTACATATCTACCTAAATACTTTTTGTTAACCTGTTGTTTTAGGGCGGAGTAGGCGACATAGGAGGAGCTGGTCCAAGAGGTCCAACTGGTAACAAGGTATTCTTTCTCATATCAAGACGTGAATAGAGCAGGTTTCATATGACTGGGAAGTACTGAGTTGTGCCGTGACAATTATTCTGCTTTATGCGAGTAACCACGCCTCACTAGTTGATCTGAGAGAAAATGCTGTTAGCCAATCAGAATCAAGAAAATTTGCAAAACTGAGGTTTCACTTTTCCTCTTGAAATTATGGATTTCCACACCAAATGAGAAAAAATAATGTTGCTAATAACAGCTTGATAACTAAATGACACAATGATTGACAGTTATATATTTTTTGCAATGGTGGGCATTTTTCACAGGCTCTATGACATCTAGCCTCGGTTTTGCAGTGACATATTTTCTACGTCACTTTTTAAGATCTGCTGGCAACACCTTGGAATGTGACGTATTTTTCATGACCATACAAAATCTGCTCTTATGGCGTTTTTGAGGATTTCGTTGAATATTTGTTATTTTTCATAAAATAATTCTTTCTTAGGGCCCAACAGGAGGCCAAGGAGCCAAAGGAGGTGCAGGAGATATAGGAGGAGAGGTACGTCAATAAACAATAATGTCATGGTTTTTTCATATGTAACGACATATTGATCGAGCTGTCATGTCACGCTTTGACAAATGATGATTCAATCTAATAGGTTGTAACGTTGTGTGTCACGTGTAACAAAGTAGGTTGTCACGGTATATATCATATTTGTGAAAAAGAATCGTACGTCCTAACGGTTAAATTTAACAGGTCACGTTACATATCACATGTGTGACAAAGAATGATACAACTTAATAGGTTGCAACGTTGTGTCACATGGGTAACAAAGAGTGACACAATCTTTT